TTATTGACTCTGGCCACTAGGCTGTACGGGATGTAGTGAGGGGACCGGGGTCCTAGGAACTGAGACACTCGTGGGGTGGAGCACGTGTTGAGAAGTCCGAAAGGCCTAATGCCCTGCCTGCGAGGGGGCTGGAAGTACCTACCCTGTGACAGTACCCACAGGAAGAAATTCCCAAGTGCATCTTCCTGGGTTCTTTGAGGCTTCTGCATTTGGGAGGTGGCAGCTACCTGCCAAGGTCGTGGAATCTGTGGCCTTGGGGAATTTTTAAGCTAAAGCTCTTGCAGGCCCTCCGCGTTCTGCACTCAGAGTCCAAGTGGGGAACAGCCCTGACCCTCATGCCATAGGAATGAGTGTGGGGCAGGCCTCTGAGCTGTTACCTGCTGGCCTTGGAGCTGTGAATTCAGCTTTTCCAAATTGGAACCAAATGTGGAAATTCTCTGTGGAAGAGACTGGAGCCCAGCTGGTCAGCTGCAGACCCTAGAGCCCTGGGGGTCACTGCAAAGCAACAAGCTGCAGACCTTGGAATCCCTGGGCGGCATCTCAGGTCAGGCTGAGGTCCCCAGCCCTGAGTTCAGCTGTGGGGACATGCCCCCTTCAGGGGACACATGGCCTCAGCCTAATAGCTGCTGTCCTGCCCCCTCACTCGCTGTGCAGGCCCTGCCAATGCCAAGCACTTCAGAACTCTGGCCCCAGCCCTCTGCCGTGGGATGGGTAAGGGTAAACATTTGGCTTCTTCACTGGTGTTGGAGGAGGCCAAATTTAGGCTGCTAGGAAAGAGACTGAAATCCAGGACCTCTATGGTGGCATTCTCAGAAATGCTTCCAGTTCCACACACAGGGCCAGGTTGGCAGGCAGAGCTTCAGAGTCTCAGCGTGTGGGATGAGATGATGGTGTAGGGAGGAGGGGTTTAGCTTTATAAGGAACTGGGGAAACTTTTGGGATAGGGGGAGCCTATACAGGAAGGATGGGCTCCACCTAAACCAAAGTGGATCCAGACTGCTGGCATTTAACATTAAAAAGGTCGCAGAGTAGTTTTTAAACTAAGAGATGGGGGAAAGCCGATTGGTGCAGAGGAGAACGTGGATTGGACAGAGATGTCTCTTAAAGGAGAGTCTATCGATCGAGATTCTCTAGGTTTTAGTCAGGAGGAGAGGATGGAAGAGGATAAAGTATGGGCCAGATCAGACAAAAAACATTCACATAAAAAAGAATCTGACATATCAGAAAAGGGCAGACAAATAATGACAAGTTTTTAAAGTGCTTGTACACAAATGCTAGAAGTCTAAAAAAATAAGATGGGTGAACTAGAGTGCCTCATGTTAAGGGGAGGATACTGATATACTAGGCATCACAGAAACCTGGTGGAGTGAGGACAATCAATGGGACACAATCATTCCGGGGTACAAAATGTATCAGAAGGACAGAACAGGTTGTGTGGGTGGGGGAGGGGCACTATATGTGAAAGAAAATTTAGAATCAAAGGAAGTAAAAATCTTAAGTCAACATGTTTCATAGAATCGCTAGGGATAGTAATTCCCTGCTCTAATAAGAATAAAACAGTAGGGCTCTATCGACCACCTGACCGGGACAGTGATAGTGACTATGAAATGCTAAGGGAGATTAGAGAGACTATCAAAATAACTCAGTAATAGTGGGGGATTTCAACTATCCCCATATTGACAGGGTACATGTCACCTCAGGACGGGATGCAGAGACTAAATTTCTTGATGCCTTAAATGACTGTTTCTGGGAGCAGCTGGTACAGGAACCCACAAGGGGAGAGGCAATTCTCGATTTAGTCCTGAGTGGTGCGCAGGATCTGGTCCAAGAGGTACCGCTTGGAAATAGTGACCATCTTAACGCTATACCGGCACTGGAAAAAGGTTCAGAAAAGTGCATCAAAATTATTAGGGGTCTGGAACAGCTTCTGTATGAGGAGAGTTCAATAAAGATAGGGACTTTTCAGCTGGGGGGGAAAAAGAACTAAGGGGGAGGGGATATGATAGAAGTCTAT